TTCTGACTGAAAACCTTTAAAGTTCCTGGAACACAACACTAGGCTTGGGGAACAGCAAGGCGGCGACCTCACGTCGGCGGGCAGGCGTCCGGGGAGAGCAGCGTCTAAGACAGCCGCGGACTCCGTCCCAGACAGTCTGAGTCCGTGAGACAAACAATGGCAAGAGTCAGAAGTCTGGACTGGGAGCGACGCTTTGAGAAGTGCTTTGCTATTCAGAGGTGAGAAATAATGAGGGCGACTGAGCTGAGAACACAATCCACCCAGAAAGTCAAGCAGCCCCGTTACCAGAAATCAGGAGGCAGAGGGTTTTGATATCCTAACAACAAATACCTTATCCTTATGAAACATGACTTTGCCTTTACTCTTCAGGATACCCCAATATTTTGCTTGGCCCAGAACTTAAAATTAATTGGAATAAATTTCCATTTGAAATTATTGGCTGAGTTTTATTCTTGACTTAAGATGAAAACATTATTCAACCACCTTATGAACGAAGAGGTCTTATTTCTCAAGTTGGAAAAACCATGTATCAATGCCCCCCCTGCCCCCCCCCACCACGATTTTCTCCAAACACCTGTCAAAACCTGAACTTCACGGGGTAGTGGGTCACCTGAGAAAGATGCAACCTGTGCTGATAATATAGATTAGAAACATCTGTAGTTGGGAGATGGAGAAACTGGGATTCCTTGGTTGATGAACTTGCTCAGAATATCTTTAGTCTGAATTCAGGCTACATAGAGTCTGGCAGCAAATTGTTTTCACCAGTTCCTACTCTCTCCACTACCACCCAGTCCTCACTCACTCAGCTTGCTATTGGCTGCCTAGCTAGCAACTGATGCAAGCCAATAAAAAAAGATACTTGAGAGGAGGTTTATTCCTACAAATCATAGAAATTAATCTAAATATCAACAATTAAATTCATGCGCCAATTAAATTATGCAGATGCTTATTATCTGTGGTTACCCGATTTACACAATTGTAATGAGAGATAGAACCATTGCTTTTACCTGCTTTAACAAGGGTATAAATGGTCTAATTATAGCTCCCAAACTGAATGCAAATAAGTCTCATTTTGTGTCCTTTATGCGCTGGTCCTGGAATCACATAAACTATCTGATTTATACAGGTCCAAACTGAGAATTTAATTACTGTGTATTTAACACCCTTATAACATTATTCCTGGACCACAGCAGTGATCATACAATTATTCTTCTTTCTCTACGTACCAGGCACCCTGCTAGGTGATTCTATAGTTATACTTTCAAAAATATGCCTCGTATAAATTGTTGTGTTAAAGGCTAGTGTGGTTATAAGTCAATGTCCATGATTTCAAGTTGTGTCCAAATAAGAACAAACTCCATAAACCTCAAATTCAAGCTCCTCTACTGTCTCCCTAATTTTCTAGCATTATCTTCAAAATAGCACCTTAGATGAATTTATCATTCTAGCCATACAGTTTATTTCTTGACACCAAAAAATATTCTGTGAATTCTGACTTCTTTTCCCAACAGCCCTTAGTTTTCCTAACAGCGTATGCCTTCCCTGATGTGCTCAGCCTATCCATTTAATCCTCTCAATCTGTCTTCTTTATTTATATCCTGCCAAAAGTTCCAACACTTTCCTTAAAGCTCAAATATTAATTTCTGAACAGAAAGTTCATTTAGCAACTCGTGCCTATCACTAATGTATAATAACCAAAGCAGAACATGTCTGAGCCCTTATTTTGTGCTCAGTACTTTCATGCGTTATCTTATTAAATCCTCAGAACAGAGCTCTGAGAAGGGTATCGTTGGGATCGTTACCACCACTAAATCGATCTTGCGGATGTGGAAACAGAGCTTTAGACAGATGAAGGAACATGTCTAAGGCCAAGTGTCAGTAGGCAGCGGAGCCAGGACTCAAGCTGAGGACTGTCTCCTACCAAACTCTGTGTTTCTCTTGCTCAGCTTCATTGGTCCCGACCGCACTCAGTGTTCCCTTGGTCGGTGCCCGCTCTCTCTAACGGGCCTGGTGTCCCTCGCTGACATGGATGTATACGGGTGTTCTACACATTCTGCTGAGCACGGAAGCATCTAGACGGTAGAGATATATTTCGATTTGGTAAGCAATGAAAGAAAATTGTGGCGATTGTGACAAAGCTGGACAGCGACAGCAAAAGTAAATTGTGGGCAGAATGCACCCATCAATGCGCAACGATGGCTACGCTGAAGAACAGGTAAAATGAGATCTGAAGATGAGTTCCACAATCATGGAATAGGCAGATACTGCAACTGAAAAAAACTAACTGAGCTTCCTTGTAACCTAATCAGCAACGAATGCAAAGTGAATGACCCTCAGGAGGCAGCGAGTGAGCCAGGCAGAGTGATGAGAAGCCCCCCTGCGCACTGGGCGCCCCCAACGCGCGGGAGCGATGAGAAGCCCCCCTGCGCACTGGGTGCCCCCGACGCGCAGGAGCGATGAGAAGCTCCCCCCCCCCCCCCCCGCGCACTGGGCGCCCCCGACGCGCAGGAGTGATGAGAAGCCCCCACTGCGCACTGGGCGCCCTGACGCACCCGGAGCGATGAGAAGCCCCCCCTGCGCACTGGGCGCCCTGACACACCCGGAGCGATGAGAAGCCCCCACTGCGCACTGGGCGCCCTGACGCACCCGGAGCGATGAGAAGCCCCCCCTGCGCACTGGGCGCCCTGACGCACCCGGAGCGATGAGAAGCCCCCCCTGCGCACTGGGCGCCCTGACGCACCCGGAGCGATGAGAAGCCCCCACTGCGCACTGGGCGCCCTGACGCACCCGGAGCGATGAGAAGCCCCCACTGCGCACTGGGCGCCCTGACGCACCCGGAGCGATGAGAAGCCCCCACTGCGCACTGGGCGCCCTGACGCGCTGGAGCGATGAGAAGCCTCCACTGCGCACTGGGCGCCCTGACGCACCCGGAGCGATGAGAAGCCCCCACTGCGCACTGGGCGCCCTGACGCACCCGGAGCGATGAGAAGCCCCCCCTGCGCACTGGGCGCCCTGACGCGCTGGAGCGATGAGAAGCCCCCACTGCGCACTGGGCGCCCCTGACGCGCTGGAGCAGCACCTGTAAAGGTTCTACCGCGTGGACGAGTGGCTGGCACTGGCAAGAGAGAGGTCCTGGAAGCTACAATGCCAGAGACCTCTGAGGTGTGGGGGGACGGACAATGACAAGAACCGCAGACTCGAAGGACGGTGTCGGGAGATACAGATATACTGAAGAAGGAATGAAAGGCTGCAGAAAATCAGTCATCAGTCCGAGGGGAAGCGCAGCAAGGTTTCCATGGTAACGCACACAGAAACTCTCCTAAGGCTGGAAGACAGAGGAGCTGAGGGCCGGGCCTGGTATCTAAGTATAAGGGTAGCACAGTTCCAGGTGAGGTTGTGGTCGCAGCCCCCAAGTGTTCTCTGGAACCCGGAAACCTGGGGTGGTGTCGCTTGGTCATCAGTTACGATGAGGAAATGTGGAGAATGCACCGAAGGCCATGGACATTTGTCCCGGGCCTCTTCACAGTGCGTCCACTGGGCCTTGGACCCGCCTCGCGGCGATGTCTGTGGACTTCAGACCTGCAATGGGAGCGCACAGTGGGCAGAGCACCCGGCTGGTCTCCTGGTCCCCACGGTAAGAGCCGTTGGTGAGGGAGGTGACAGGGAAGCCTGTGATTACTGGCACAACTTACACTTGCACAGTCTCACATGTCGATTACACCTCAATTAAAAAATGAAATTTAATTTATACAATGGTTTTCCTTAATGTCCATACTACCAAAAGGGATGTACAGATCCATACAATCCCTACCAAAATCTCAGTGGGGCCCTGGGCAGTTTGGCCCAGCGGTAAGAGCGTTGGTCCACGGACCAGAGACCCGGGTTCAGTTCCCGCTAAGGGCATGCACCGTGGTTGCAGTTTGCCCCGGGTCGGATCGGGTCCTGTTGGTGGCAACTACTCAATGTGTCTCTCCCATTGATGATTCTCTCTCTCTCTTCCTCTCTTTCTCCCACTCTATCTGAAGATGAATGCAAAAAGGTTCTCCAGTGAGGATAGAAAAAACAAAAAATCTCAGTGGCATCATTCACATTAATAGAAAAAAAAATTCTAAAAAGTGATATACAGATTCAATGCAATCCCTATCAAAATATCAGTAATAGAAAATAAAATTCTAAAATCATACAGAACCACAGAAGACCCTGAATAGCTAAAACAATCCTGAGAAAGAAGCACAAAGCTGGAGACATCGCCCCTCCTCGTGTCCAGCTGTAGTCATGAGCCCTCAGCAGCAGGGATCTGCTCTGAGAAGCCGTCCACTCACACACTGGGTGGGCCAGCCCACGGCGTACCTGGGCTCTATTATTTTGGCTACCCAGGGTCTCTGTGGCTCCAAAGTGCTAAATAATTTCACTTGCATCGGTTCCTTTGGCCCTTTTCTCTTGCAAACATCTTGACCGCCCTAAATCTAAAACTGGTTTCTCAGCCTCAATGCCTCTCCCAGCAATCTACCCCTGTCTGGAGCATCCAGAGGTCCAGAAAGACACCGAACTTTTATTTTTTGACAGCTGGTCATCTTGAAATATCACCTAGAAGTGACGTTTTCTTCAAGACGTTCTGATTGGAATGGACCTTGGCATTGCCCCAAAATAAACAGGCGAAGCCCATATTCAGAACTTGATTTACAAGGCCTTCCACGGTCTATCCTCTCCCCACACCAAGTCACGGTTCCTTTCCCTTCCTCATTCAGTGATGCAACCCCACAGGCATCATCTCCACTATCAAACTCCATCACTAGGCGGTGTGTGGTTGCTGGCATCCCTCAGTAACTTTTTAAACAAATTTCAAGCTCAATATTAATAGTATACTTTTTATTTGCAAAAGACACATGATCTTAAATATTTCAGGACTCCCTGAAAAAATGTGGATTTATCTGAGAGAGGTGACATTTTACAGGCTTGATACCGTGTTGCTTTCGGGAAAAGCACCACGCGTGTCTTACCAGGTTGCCACCCAGAGGCATGGGCATCTCCCCGATCGCAGCATGTTCCAAGTCCTCGCTGTACGTGAAGCTGTGGAAACTCTGGGACGTGATGGTGGCTGTGGAACTGCGTTCCTCCACCAGGCTTTTGTACATCGGTGTCCGCGGCTGGGCCAGGCCTTTCAGTATCACGTAAAACCCATCATTGCCGACGACTGGAACGAAACAAAACCACAGAGGTATTGTGTAGGCTTTATTTCCTGGGCTCTTTGAGATGGATGTGATGACCACACACATCCCACTTACTTTTGCTTTTAGCAGAGTCCTTTATTCAGTGACAATGACTTCAATGTAGCACTTAGGTATTCACAAGTGATTGACACACACAAGAATAACAAAGGTACATCTACACATTGGAAGAGTTCTTTTCTGACAGTTATCATAGTAATCAACCCTCTTATGGAACTGAGAGGTAACATATCACAACAGAGATTTAAGATGGTATGATAACAATAAAACCAGGAAAGTCCTTACATTTTTTAAAATGTTTACCTTCCCCTCCTAAAGCCATGTTGCCTACTTTGCATTAGTCACAATGTACACCTGCTGTTGACTTTCATTTATCTTTGGAAGGGAGAACATTCCCAGGCATAGCAGTTTCTCCCTCCCAGTGTTTCTCCTCCGCCCCACTGTAACTCCCCACAGTTGGGCATGTGATCCCAGGCCCTGAGTGCAGCTGGTCTGGCGGGTGTGTTTGTCTGGGAGGCTGTGGAATCCAGCTGAATCAGCCCTGCCCCTCCTCAGCCAGTCCTCTGAGAGAGGCGGTGTGGACCGGGTCGCTGTCTCCACGGGGCAAGCAGTCGGAGCGCTGACCGCTCTTTCCCTGGCTTATTACCTCACTGTAAATAAATTCCGTTGACAATGGTGTTTCTTTTTATGCCCTAATAGGGAGCAGCCATTTGCCTTCTCTGCTTTTTTTCTAAGCGGAGAGAAGTTCTACACGCTCATTTATACCTGGAAGGGAAGCAGAGGGGCCGCTCCTCTGGCAGGTGGGCAGAGGGGCCGGCAGAGCGTGGAGCTGAGGCCCTGTCTTGGCAGGGGGTTGATGACAGCATCTGTCAAAACTCATCAAGCAACAGACTTCAGGTGCAAACATGCCCATTACTGTATGTTCCTCTTTCCTCCGAAAATGAAGGCCCAGAAGCAAATACTGAATTCTGGGTGAGCCCTGCAGGGTTTAGGAGCGACCTGTCCTCACAGGATGGTTCCACAGAGATAGTGAAACATGATGTAGCCCTGGTCGATTTCACTCAGCGGGAGAGCATCAGCCACGGACCAATGAGTCTCGGGTTCGATTCTGGCCAAGGGCACGTACCTTGGTTGCAGTTTGTCCCTGACCCTGGTTGGGGCCATATGGGAGGCAGCCAGTTGATGTGTCCCTCTCACATCAATGTTTCTCTCTCTCTCCATCTCTCTACATCTGAAGATAAATAGAAAAATATCCTTGGGTGAGGATTAAAATGAAAGTGACTAAAGTCATTGTAAAGTATATGATTGTGTAACCAACTGTGCTGTACACCCCAAAATTACATAAAATAATATTTAACATGAACTGTAACTGAAAACAATTTAAAAACATGATGCAAAAGTAGTGGGGACATTGCAGGGGAGAAGGTGCTACTATGAGAGACAGCCAACTTGGTTTTCACCTCTTTCTGCGTCTTGAGCCAGACACTATTCCAAACATATTACAGGACTAATCCTTTGTATCCTCTTGGCAAACCTATGCGGCAGGTGTTGTGACGGCTCCAATGGTACAGCTGTGCGGAATGACAGCACCAAGGAATGAAGCCTCCTGCCCCGGCTCAGAGACTAAACACAGCCCGCCTCAGCCGGCTCATTGCACTGGCCCGGGGGTCAGACTCTGCCCGTCCTCCCTCTCCTGCCCCCCTCCACCTTCCTCCCCTCCTTCCTCTCCCTCTCTCTCCTCCCCTATCCTCATCCTTCTCCTGCTCCCCTCCTCCCTCTGCCTCTCCTTCGCCCTTGACTTTCTGTTTCACTCCATGTATGTCTGGTAGGAATGTGTTCTCAATGATGGTGAGACCCTATGTTTGATCCTGTCAGGGGTCATGTTTTGTTTTAAGGGGAAAGAAAGCTCAAAGAAATATGTTAGTTTAAAATGTTAAAAAGAAATTAGAAGTCAGTATCTGTGTACCTATGAAGGAAAACATGTTTGTGGCACAAACATTACGTAACAAGAGCAGCCTGCAAAGGGGTGGGGCAGAGTGTGTAAGAGGACAGACTGCAGTTCAAATGTAGTTCATCACAAAAGACAGTTAATTATTGAGCAAAATGATGATTCTGGACTAGAATTGTGATGGCACCTTTCCCTAGACTTTCTCTATAAGGTTCACCGTCATAGATCTTAGTAAGTGGGTTGACAGGCGATTCCTTAAAAATGGCTCATGAATAAACGACCTTTTGCCCGACGGGTGTGGCTCAGGGGCTGAGCATCAACCCTGCACTGAGGGTCATCGGTTCATTCCCACGAGCACATGCCTGGGTTGCTGGCTCCATCCATACAGGAGGCGGCCGATCGATGTCTCTCTCGCATCAATGTTTCTCTCTCTCTTCCTCTCGCCCTTCCTCCCTCTCTAAAACCAATTTAAAATACTTTTTAAAAAAAAAAAAACTTTGCTATAGATTTCCAAAAATAGAAACAAGCTGTTCCTGGCCTCCAGATATGCCCTGCTTGCCAGGAAGGACGGGCGTGCTCCGTGCGAGGTGCTCTCACAGGAGTTCTTCCTAACCCCAAGTGTCATTCCTCATCAGTCCTTCTTAACATCTTTGTTATAGTTCGTTGATTTTTAGAGAGAGGAAGGAGAGGGAGAGACATGGATGTGAGAGAAACATCGATTAGCTGCCTTCTGCATGCACAGCACCAGGGATTGAGCCCAAAACCCAGGCATGTGCCCTGAACAGAAATCAAACAGGTGACCTCTCTGTGCACAGGGTGAGGCCCAACCAGCTGAACCACACTGGCCAGGGCAGTCCATTTTACAGATAAAGAAACTAAGGCTCAGAATAATTAAGTAATGCCAAAGTCACAAAGTATGCTATTTTCTGCAAGTTTTCAAATATATTCCAGGCCTGGCCAGTGTGGTCAGTTGGGTGGAGTGGGTTCATGCCCCACACCGGGCGGGTTGTGTGCAGAAGGCGACCAATTGGTGTGTCTCTCTGACATCAACATCTCTCCCTCCCTCTCCCTCCCACTCTCTAAAAAAATCAATGGAAAAAATGTCCTTGAGTGAGGATTAACAAACAAACAAACAAAAACTGTGTGAAATCTTATACATTTGCCAGGAGATAGCATTGAGTAAGCAGAAAATTTTTGCTCCATTTGCCTTACTTAAAAAAAATTTTAAAGTTCTCAAAGAAGAAAATAAGGTAGTATAACACAACTAAACTTTTCACAAAGCACATTATTAAAATAGAGGGCATAACAGACTGTTTCTAAGGACCTGACGGCCATTTCCGTGTGAGAGGACGGAAAAGAAGGACGCGCGGACCGGCCTGTGCGGCGGACTGAGCTCCCGCCGGGGGCGACTCACTGGGGTCGCGGCTGCGCTCAGCAGAGATGGTCGGCACGCTTCTCCTAAGACTTACCTACTGTGTTTGTACAATATGTTACATAAAATTTAAACCACACAAAAAATAAAAGTCAAAGCAGGTTAAAAAAGATGTTAAAAATTTAGTAATATAAAAATATTTTGAGCCCTGGCCAGTTTGGCTCAGCTGTTGAGCGTCGGCCTGCGGACCAGAGAATCCTCGGTTCAGTTCCCGCTAGGGGCACGTCCCACAAAAAAAAAAAAAAAAAAAAAATATATATATATATATATATATATATAGCATTGAAAATAAATATAAACATATATAAAATGAGGAGCCACAGTTTTTGAGATATGATCTCAAAAGTTGAGAGTAAAGATGAGATATAATGAAAGAAACAGAAGAGAAATAACACTGTGGAACTTAATGGACTTCAAATAAAAGAAATAAAACAGTAAAGATGATATAGTTAACAAAAGTAAAAAAACAAAACCTTACTTCAACCATTTCATGGGAATACTTCAACATTAATATAAAGGTAGCTAGCTAGGTAGGTAGTTACACAATTTTGATTGAGGATCTAATTCCAGCCTAGCCACTACCCTGGATTCTCAAGCAAAATAATTATTTTAGCTTCCATGAGTTTTAGTTTGCAAATCATAAAATTGTCCTCTGCTCAGGGCATAAAATAATAGATCCATGGAACGTGCTTGAGATCACTAGTTAAGTGAACTATATACCTATCAGTATACAGAAATAAATTACTGTATGGAATATATAATACACATAATCTTTATATTATAGTGATATGTAACCATGTTTTAGTACCACATTCAGTTTTTAATTAAAATTTTAAAATTACCATTGACATTTAATATCATATTAGTCTCAAGTGTGCAGCATAGTGATAGACATGGACGTGACTTATACAGTGATTCCCCCAGCAAGCCTAGCCGCCTTGTACATACACAGTCATCACAACACTGCTGACCTGTTCTCGACGCTGCACTTTGCTCTCTGTGTCTGTTTTGTAACTGCCATTTGTACCCCCCCCCCTTTTTTTACATGTTTGTATTAATTTTCTACAGAGACAGGAAGGGAGAGAGAGAGAAACATCGATGTGAGAGAGAAACATCTGTGGTTTGCCTCCTGCATGCCCCCTACTGGGGATCGAGCCGGCAAATCTTACCAAGCAACATGGATGGATCGACAAGGTATGAGCCAAGTGCAGTAAGTCAGAGAGAGAGAAAAAAAATACCATATGATTTCACTTCTGTGTGGAATCTAAATGAACAAGCAAAACAGAAACAAACTGGTAAGATTTTATTATTTTTTATGGCCGAGTAATACTTTGTTGTATATATGTGCTACTACTTCTTTATCCACTCGTCTACTGATAGACACTTAGGCTGCTTCCATATCTTGGCTACTGTAAATAATGCCGCAATGAACATAGGGGTGCATAATCTTTTTGAATTACTGTTTTGAATTTCTTTGGAGAAATGCCCATCAATGGGATTGCTGGGTCAGATGGTAGTTATTTTTTTTTTTTAGGGAGAGAGAGAGAAACATTAATGTGAGAGAGAGACATCAATTAGCTGCCTCCTGCACGCCCCCTACTGGGGATCGAGCCCACAACCCAGGCATGTGCCCTGCTGGGAATTGAACAGGACCTCTCAGTCCATGGTATGATGCTCAATCCACTGAGCCACACCAGCTGGGCATGGTAGTTCTATTTTTAATTTCTGAGGAACTTCCATACTGTCTTCATACTGTTTACCAATTTGCAGTTCCACCCACAGTGCAGTGGTTCCTTTCTCTCCACATCCTCGCCAAAATGTGTTGTTTGTTGATTTTTTAATGCTAGCAATTCTGACAGATGTGAGGTGCTCTTTCATTGTGGTTTTAATTTGTATTTTTCGGATGATTAGTGATGTTAACCATCTTTTTATAGTACCACAATCATTTAAATGAGAGATGTGCATGTGTTATTCAGTTCCTCGAATCACAGTATCGTTATCCCGTTCGTGTGTTATTGTTCAAGAGCGCTGAGCGGCAGGCTGAGTGCGTGCTGGCAGCCTGGGGAAGCTGCCTTCCGCACTGAAAGTGCCGAGGCCGGGCGGCCAGGAAAGAGACAGGTGCCCAGGACTGTTGGAACTGCCCGAGAGGAACCAGCACCTGGGCAGAGGCGGAGGGGAGACACTCTCAGGAACCGCACGGGAGGGAACATACACCCGAGTATGGGAAAGACACCTGGTGGGCTTGTTTCTTACGTTGGATGAACCAAAGGATTTACAGAGGTCAGACATTTAATGAGACGTCTGCTCTCGTAGTGAAACCGATCTGAGCTGTCAGACTCCAACATCTTAAAAACTCAAGAGGGTTTTGACACAGGCAGAGACAAGCACAGAGACTTCCCCCCAAAATTTTTTTTTCATCCTCACCCAAGGACCTTTTTCCATTTCTTGTTCAGATAGAGTGGGAGGGAGAGAGAGAGAGAGAGAGGAACATCGACACAGCGAACATCAACACAGTGGAAGGGACACAGTGAGTGGCTGCCACCTGCTCAATCCATCCAGGGCCAGGGACAAACTGCAACTGAGGTACGTGCCCTTAGCTGGAACCGAACCCGGGTCTCTCTGGACCGCAGGCCGATGCTCTAACCGCTGAACAAAACCAAAATTTTTTAAAGCATATGAGCATATGAAATGTGAGTTGGAATACCTTATTTAATATAAATGATCAATCAAAGTTGACATTTTTCAAGGAAAGAAAGTTCATATTTCATAGGTAATCACCTGAGTCATTAAGATGCCAATAGTGCCTAGCTGGTGTGGCTCAGTAGCTGAGCATCAACCCTGCACCAAGAGGTCACCAGTTCGATTCCCGGTCAGGGCACAAGCCCAGGTTGTGGGCCTGATACCCAGTGGGGGGCATGCAGGAGGCGGCCAATTGATGTTCTTTCTCATCGATGTTTCTATCTCTCTCTCCCTCCCCCTTCCTCTCTCTCAAAAATCAATAAAGAAAAAAAGAAAAAAGATTCCATTAGAATATTTGCTTCTAATTGTACTTTTAAACCTAAGTGGAAAAAAAAATGTGTAGTCGCAAACATTGACACGTGGATGGACATTCACTATGGAAAACTCAACACAAATATATCTAAAGAAATTCACTGCCCCTCAGCTACTCTCTCCTCCACTAAGGTGACTACTTTAAAAATATATATTTTCAGTCCGGCTGATGTGGCCCAGTGGTTGAGCATCGACCCATGCACCAAGAGGTTGCCGGTTCGATTCCCGGTCAGGACATATGCCCAGGTTGTGGGCCCGATCCCCAGTGGGGGGCACGCAGGAGGCGGCCAACCGATGTTCTCTCTCATCGATGTTTCTATCTCTCTCTCTCTCCCTCTCCCTTCTTCTCTGTCTAAATCAATAAAAGAAAAAGAATTTTTTAAAATATGTATTTTTAGACTGCCCTTCAGGATATATCCCTATGTATTTTTGCCATGTATTTTTATGTGTTTATATATAATTTCAAGTATTTATGAAAATAGGTGATCATATTATTTATTAACTCTACAGTTGTTCTGTGTGTAGGTTTCTGGGGTGTTTGCTGTCTCCGATGTTTCGGTGCCAGGACACAGATCTGTGCCCGCCGGAAGCCCCCGGAGTCCGCGTCACCGTGGGCACAGTCCCCTCCGGTCAGGGGCATTCCGCTGGTTCCCATATTTCTCACTATAGCGAATATAATTTTGAGGATTTATGATAAAACAAAAATTTAATCACTAGTCCCAAGCTCATAGCAAAGCCATGTTCAGCATTGGCTCTTTCTTCCCTCCAACACCATCTGTCCTCTGCAAAGCTGCCATGACTCAGTTTCCCCGCGTGATGTCGGTGAGATGAAGCTATGAAAGAAAAACTCTAGAGGAAATTCTCGAAACATGTTGTGTTTTCAACAGACAAGTGTTCCCCAAAATTCCAGTTGCATTTTCAGTGTCATGACCCTGATGAACACTTCAGCAGACAGAGGCGAGATGGGCAGAGGATGAGTTCAGCATTGCGGCCGCAGTGGTTTGAAATTCCATCCAAACCAGGAATACACGCAGGACGTCCCATGCCTTAGGGTCCCCAGTGCCCATCAGCAGATGAGTGGATAACAAAGCTGTGGTACATTTACACAATGGAATACTACTCGGCCATAAAAAAGAAGGACCTCTTACCCTTTGTGGCAGCATGGAGGGACCAGGAGAGCATTCTGCTGAGCGAAATAAGTCAGTCAGACAAAGACAAGTACCATACTGATTTCACTCATATGAGGAATCTGATGAACAAAATAAACTTACCAACAAAATTTGAAGATAGAGAATAGACTGACAACTGTCAGAGGGTAGGGGTATTTGTGGGGCTAGGTGAAAAAGTTGAAGGGACTAAGCAAAAAAACAAACAAACAAAAACTCATAGGCACAGACAGCAGTGTGATTACCGGAGAGGAAGGGGGCTGGGGAGAGGTGGAGGAGGGTGTAGGGAGAATAAATGGTGATGGAAGGAGACTTAACTGGAGTGGGGGCACACAATAAAATATACAGATGATGGATTAGAATTGTACACCTAAAACCTATATAATTTATTAAACAATGTCACCAAATACATTCAATAAAATATATAAACAAATAAATAATAATAACATTGCCCAGTTAGTGTAGCTTAGTGGTTGAGCATCGTCCCATGGACTGGTTCAATTCCTGGTCAGGGCACATGCCCAGGTTGTGGCTTAATCCCCGGGGGGGCAGGGGGGGGAGCATGCAGGAGGCAGCCCATCAATGTTTCTCTCTCAGGTTGATGTTTCTATCTCTGTCTCCCTTCCTCTCTCTCTAAAATATCAATAAAAACATATTTTTAAAAATAATAGTCATATCTAATTTTATTTGTTACTGTGATGAATAAATAAGGAAGATTCCCTGACACACACAAACACACAAAATGTATTAAGTAAATTTAGTTTTTACTAGCAGGTACTTAATAAATACATTAAAAAGTGATGCTGAACTCTGTTGGTTTTAGGTGTGTGTGACTTTATGTGTGTTGACTTGTATGCCCCCCAAATTAAAATATAAAATACCTCTATTAAAGTATTCAATATATCTTTTGTAAAGGGATTAGAAGTACAATTGTGAAACTGAAAATCTGTGTGGAGAGATTTCCCAGTATCTGACTCATATCGGGATCAGTCAGTACTCGCTCTGACCACTTCCTGTCGTAACTATGACACGATGCCAGATGCTATTAAATCTGAAAATCAGTGAGTGGTTTTCAAAGCATGGTCCCCAACTAGCAGCATCGCCCCGAATATTACTGGACGTGCAGACTAAGTCCCATCCCGAACTCATGAAAGCAGAATCTTCAAGGGTTGAACACAGCAGTTTGTCTTGGCGAGGCCCCTGGTGACTCTGATGTGTGCTCAGTGACTATCTCTAAAACGTAAGTCTACAATGTGAAATGTACTCATTTTGTGACGTAGAACCTTACAAATGAAACACATCTGAGCAGTACATTTCTAACACGTCCGGTGAAAGTACACGTGGTACCATAATTGATGGGGAACTCAAAACAGTGGCCTGTCCTGGATCTTGCCAAATGTCCCTCCAGAGAGCCGGTTACCTGTGCTGCCTTTTATCCAGGTTTCAGAAATGACATTCCTGCTGAGTGTTTTCAGATGGTCTTTTCTCAGCTGAGAAGTTAAATCTGGAATTGTTTGCAGCATCTCCCACACGATGTTGTGTTCATCCCGAGTCCTGTGAATGGGCCTTCAAAACAGAAAAAGACTGCAAATTGAGAGGCAATAGCACAAAGACGAGGAAACAAACAAACCAAAAAATGCCTGACCTTTCCAAATTTGTATTTTTTTTATGTAAGGGTTGCTTGAGGACACCTGTGCTGATGTTGGCTGGGCTTTTTTTTACCAACATGAAGATGCATCTCCAAGAAACTAAATTTCAAGGAATTACCTGTAACTTCTCTTTGTAGAAAACTCAGACCTTCAATTTTAAGATTGTATCCTTTTGTTACTCTCCTACCTAAAGTTCATTGAGCTTCCTGGTGAGCTGATAATGTTTTTTTTTTTTTTTTTTTATCAAACTGGGAAGTTGTTGGCCATTGCTTTTTCAAATATTCTCTGTTCCTTTCTCCCTCCTTTCCTTCTGGGACCCCATTCTGTTTCTGCTAGTCTACTTGCTGGTATTCCACAGGTCTCTGCAGCTCTACTTATGTTGTTTATTCTTTATCTTTCTGTCTCTTTGACTGAATATTCTTAATTGATGTATCTGCACGTTTGGCAAACCTTCCTTCTGCCAGTTCAAATCTGTTGTTGATCCCCTCTAGTGATTTTTTTTTTTTTTTTTTTAAATTTCAGTCATTGTAGTTTTCAACTCCAAAGTCCCAAAATCTGTATCTGGTTCTTCTTCTTTTCTTTTGCACTTTCTATTTCATTGATATTATTTCTGCGCTAAGACATCATCATCGCACCTTAACTTCACGGTCTGCGTCACCTCTAGTGGAACCGCCTGTCCCTTCTTGTTTCAGCCCATGGCCATCTACTGATTATCAGAAATAAATTTCTGAACCCACGTGACCCCCTAACTTTTGCTGATGGTCTGATTGTGTTGTCATATTTTCCTTTAATTCATCAGACAAGGTTTTCTTTATTTCTTTGAATCTATTCATAATTGTCAACTTATAATTTTTTGCCTACTATGAATCAACATGTGAATTCCTGAGGATGTTGTTGGCTGTTCACTGATTTTTTCCTACATGTTCCATAATATGTTATGAAAACTGAACATTTTACATAATATAATGTGGCAACTTTGAATATATGTTTTCCCTTCCTCCTCAGGGTCACTGTATAGTACTGCTTCCGGGTAGCTGCCAGATGAGCCGCACTGTGGCGATGCCCCAGAGTGGGGCTCTCTGCGCTGCTCCTAACCAGTGCCCCCACCCACCCAGGGGTGCTGCAAGGCCACTGAATTCCAACTGTCACAGAACTGAGGCAAGGAGGATTCAAGCTGGTCAGGACAGAAGGCCACAAACCCTGCTCTTCTTCCAAAGGTCCACTATTTTTCTTGAATAAATTGTTTTTCATATGGTTATAAGCATTTGATTAATTTTCAGGGTTCTTAAAAAATTATTTTGACAATTTTTTACTCACACTTTACTGCTTTTAGGGAGGAGCAGATATACGGACATCCTCACTCTGCCATTCTGGAAGTCCTACACCCCCCAGAGGATCTGAAATCCTCTCATCTATAGCAATACCAGTAGCTCCTCCCACAGCTCAAGGTCCACATATATTTTAAGCACCTGATGAAAGAGGTTAGGGAAGTACACGTGACCATTGGTGGTGAGACAATCAAAACTATTTGGTGAAAACACTGCTAACAGAAGAGATGAGAAGAAATAATGTTTAAAGCCTGGCATTCAATCAAAAATTATTATTCTGATAAATGAATGGGCATATAATTTTACATGTTCTGACTAAACATGCAAAACATGTCCTATGATCACCTAATTGTTCTGGAAATCCTATTCCTGATACATTCTTATTTTTTCAGCTTCCTTCAAAAATGCGCAGGTATTCGGAGCGCCGCTTGGCTGCGAGCATCAGGCCGGGGACCCGCGCGTCTCCTCCCGGGCGCCAGTCGTGTGGGCCCAGGCTGCCCCACTGGGCACCGGTCTGCAGGGTCCCCAAGCTCCAGCCTGACAATGAGCTGCACGTTCCAGGGCTCTGGAATTCACCCCCAATTATTTGATTGACTACAGCACACATGCTGTGTCTCCCGTCCTCAGCATGGCAAATCAAGACGTTCAGTTCTAAAGCTCAGCCTCTACGTCCTCTCTTCAGAAGGGGCTGTCCCTCCCTTCTCTCCCAACCTCTGCATTTGCTATGGGGCAGGAACTTCCTTCACCTACCCCTTCCTTACACACCCTCTGGCCATTCTTACACACAGATGCTGCAGTGAGAGAAATCCCATGGACTGAAAGACCGCTCCCTGTTCACTTGTAGACAAATGGGGAAACATTCTGATTGCGAGAAAGACTTCATTCAGAACGAATTGCCAGGGAGCCCCTGAAGGTCTCGAATAATGAAAGGGAACCGGAGATGGTGGTTCTTTTCTTCTTCTCACTGACTTACAAGCATCAAAGAGAGTGTCTCCAGGTGCTGTCACCAGGCATGCGCGTTTTAACTGGGAGTGAAGCTGTCAGGCGATGGTGCTGATGCGTATATTTGAAGAGCTCTCAAATTAAAAAGGGTCACAATTATTTTGTCTAACAATTTGAGTAGGTTATAAAGAGGTCATTTTTCCTAATTAAAAAGTACAATTAAAATATTAAACACAATAAAAGAGATCCGTGGGGAGTTATATACAAATTTTGAGTGTTAGCTCCCTATCAAATCCTCTGGCTGATTGAGTCCTTATTTTCTTCTAATACTACTTAAAAATAACCAACCAACCAGAACTCCACATGTCTCATGTCCAAAGAAAAATTTGAGAGTCCTCTACGTCCCTGAGAATTCGGGGGAATTTTACATTTCTCCCAGTTATGCCTTGTTGATGTATTTCCACAGAATGCTTAATCTCTGATCTAGAAGGCAGACTTTACTGTTGTCAGTTTTATTTGTTTTTTTAAAAAATAATGTCTCATCATTCCTACATATCAGATTCGGGTCAGCTAGAGAAGATTCCCACTTGTCTTCAAGTTTTAATATTTTTATGAGTGTTATCACGTGATTCTTTATACAGGGTTGGGTAAGAGCAGGGGGTTCCTTGCACACAGTCCCTGAGCACTTTGTTCAGACTGAATCTTATGAGGCGTACACATAAATAAAGTCGATGAAAACAGAACTAGACCAGCTTGAGGCATGAGAGGACGGGTCTGTTTCCACACCAGACCTGCATCCCCTACACACCAGCTGAAGGACCCACGGGGAATCCACAGGACTCATGTCCAATCACAAGGAATCTACGTGTCTTTCAACCTGAACAGTCTATTAATTAGTTGATTTCCACTATATCATCTTTTCTTTATGTTAACATGTAATCACAAGGGACTACAAGGAATTCAAGTTTCTAATCCAATCTCCCCCTTTTAAAGGAGGAAGCTGAGGCTTAGGATGTGAGGTAACTTTCCCAAGACCACATATAACAAATGATGGGGCCAGAATTTTACCCCGGATGACCTCACACAGAGCCCAGGTTCCTGGCCACTACACTAAGTCACGTTTCACAACAGTGACTTTCACTTATTTTGATTTATGGAGCTCACAGAGTTAGGGCAGGGTTGTTTCAGATTTTGTTGAGTTCGACACATAAAACAAAAAAGAACATAAATTTAAAAGGTGGTGCACATGGGAATATTTCTAAAGAGAAGAAAGCACAACAGATCACTAATTTTTAAAAATTGGGTGATTTTAAATCATTGCAAAATCCAGAAAAAGCCTTATAGTGCTTCTCTTAATTAGTTGCCTATGGACCTCTATTATATTTCTATTTTTAAATATTTTTACTGTGTTTCTTACCTATTCCTACAGTTTAAGCTTAATTACCTTCAGGGTAAATTCACCTCTGAGTTCAGGTTGAGTTATTAAACAAAAGAAACGAGAAAACAATGGGATCTGGATTTGAACCTGGAGTGAAGAGGGAGAAAAACAAAAGCATGACACAAGGAACATGGAGCAGAGTAAAAGTGTGAGCGTGAAGCAGAGGCCGGCAGGACCTGGCTCCCCGACGGGCGGGGTCCTGGGGGCCAGGACAGAGGGCGCCATCAGCTGGAAACAGCGCCCCCGGAAGCTGCACATTTGCTTACATCTGTCCCTAGAGCACATGCCCTGCACGCAGGCACGGGAGTTCCTCAAGGGTCCCCCCAAACCTGCTGTGACTGGATGGTTTATGGTTGGGACACAAACATCATCAGAAACGGCACAGCTGAAGCCCTTGTTTTAACATTTCATGAAATCTGGGACCCACAGATCGTGGGATAGAAAAATTCAGCTAAAGGCATTGCTTTCATCAAAGGATGCCGCGTGCATACGATGGGGCCTCCTTCTTAGCTTTCAAAGCAGCATGTATGCCCAAGCCAGTCTGGCTCAGCGGTTAGAGTGTCATCCTGTGGACCAAACAGTCTTGGATTCGATTCCAGTCAAGGGCATGTACCTCGGTTGCAGTTTGGTCCCCAGCCCTGGTCAGTGTCGTGAGGGAGAGCCAACTGAAGTGCCTCTCACATCGATGTTTCTCTCCCCCCCTCCCCAACCCCTCCATCCCACTCTACCTGAAGATAAATGGAAAAATATCCTTGGGTGAGGATTTAAAAATAAATAATGAAAGCAGCGTGTATGACAGTTATGAAGTTATTTAAAACAGTTAAAATGTGATCCCCCAGTTTCATTTATTTAACCATTCCCGTGTATTTTTTCAAGTCTCTCTCTATGAAACTATTGCCCTGGAATCTGGTGTGCGCGTGAACTCCTCTCGGACCGTCATTATCCATGTGCACACCACCTTCTGCCTGGCTGTGCACCTGACCCCCCTCAGCAGTCAGGGTGAACGAACAGGAGTGCCATCGATCCTACTGATCATTTAAATTCCGATGACAAAGGTGGATTATCATCAGTTTTTCCAGAAACCGGGCTGATCACTCCTGGCGTGCACACCTCGGGTCTCAGCAGGGTGGGGCTCTCTTGGCCATTGCCGCTGAAAGACCAGTGACAGCAACTTCAATTCTCCTCCTCAACCTCCAAAAGATTTAAAAA